TTAAACAACCATTTAATACTCTCTCTCTCTCTCTCTCTCTCTCTTTCTTTCTTTCTTTCTTAAGTGTTAATTATGAATACCTGTGTCGGATCTGTACGCACAGACCAACTCCTCCATAGGGCTGTTAAATATGACGGTATAATAGGCACAGAGGGTTGCAGTCAATACATTCTTGCAAACCATTTTATACATATTCCAATTGAACCGTTCGGGCAATACATGTGCCGTTATTTTATCGCTAAGAGCTTTGTTTGCAAACAACAGAAGCGGATATTAACACAAATAATTGCATTTAAATTAAAACAAAACACAAAAACTCACAGAAATTCTTCGTTTGGTGGAGATATTGCTGGAAATACCAGTCGGACTTCATGTGGAGGTAATTATTTTTGGGAATATAGGTTTGATGGTCGGGATCTACTCGGGACACTTGTTCCCAGCGGACCAGTTCGGTGTTGTTCTGTCCGCTGCTTTGCACCTGGTAGAAAAGTGTATTCTTAAGCTTAAAAACACTGACCACGTAATGGTAGTAACAGGCGGTCGTGTTTTCAAACTCTTTGGGCGCCAATGGTTTGCACCACAACTGATCCATATATAGGATGTTTGCCATAAACAGGATTTTTATGATCATTGAAATCATGTTTGACATCAAAAGTTGAAAATTTGATTAAGTTTTCTGTTTTTGAATGATTTTTAACAGTTTTGTAATGCATTTGTAATTGTTATATACGCGACCGGCGCCTCATTTCACAAGTATTTTAACACTGATTTAATTTAGACGATAATTAATAAGTTTATTAGAAGACAATCACATTATTAATAATAGCGATCAGATTTTAATTGTTGGCATTTTTCCAAATTTAAACAGATTTTAGTTTTGAAAACTTTTTCAATGCGTTTGAATGCAAAGAGTATTGAATGAAAGACTGAATGCATTGAAAGGGATGTGAAGTGAAAGTCAGTCACTAATCAATGCCCACATCTCTACTAAAAACAACAATTTGTTGCAAAATTAGGCAAACATTCGTATAAAACGTGACGAGATTTGAGTGAATGGTGTGAAGGGGGAGGGGTTTGGTGTAAGTGTTGTATAAATGGATTACAATTGAGTACAACTTTAGGGGTCATAAAAATGCATTATTAAATGTAACAGACTTTTAGATTAATATTGAATTATCAATAGTTGTAAACAAATGCCAATCAATTGTTTAGATTTTAAATGATATGTAATTTGTCTTTAGTTTCAAATGTAAATTCAGTTGTGATTAAAATTATTGTCAGTTTTGTTGTAATTATTAATCGTTTATCTGTTTTGTAAATAACAACACGTTTTCAATGATTTGTGTTTTAACTCAACTTTGGTTTAGATGTGAAGTGACTGACAGTTTAGGGATTGAATGAGGAGTGAAGTGGAAGTGCTGTCAGAGTGTGTGGACACATGTGTGGACACAATCGACGAGTCGATGAAGTGATGGCCACCGAAGACAACGACAGCCAAACGTGGCATCAAATCAATCAAATCACACACAAAGACATTACAAACCATCAAATGTTATCACAATTCAAAGCAATCAACACTTTGTGCCAAAAGTTACACACATTTCAGTCTATTTTGAATTCAAATTATAGTGTTTTGAATGAAGCGATTGATTGTGAAAATGATGTGAATTTAGATATCAATCAAACTATTATTGACTGCAATTCATTGAAAATTAATGAAACTTTGCTTTTAAATCATAAAACTATTAATAATAAGAAATTCCACTGTTTTTGGCCTAAATGTGAATATAAGACAAACGATAAAAGAGATTTAAATAGACATCAATTAATTCATTCAAATATAAGACAATTTAAATGTGATTTTAATAATTGTAATAAAAGTTTTCAACGAAAACCACATCTAATTCAACACAAAAGTTGTGTTCATTTGAAAGAAAAGCCATTCAAATGTAATGAAGAAAATTGTGGCAAAAGTTTTGGTCTAAAAGTAAATCTAAATAAACACAAAAGCATTCATTCGGGAGAAAAATCACTTAAATGTCGTTTTAATGATTGTAATCAAAGTTTTAAAAGTAAATCACATTTACTTCAACACAAAAATGCCGTTCATTTAAATAAAAAGTATTTCCACTGTTTTTGGCCGAAATGTGAATTCAAAACACAATACAAACAGAATTTAAGTGATCATCAATTAATTCATACAAATATTAAGCAATTTAAATGTGATTTTATTAATTGTAATAAAGTTTATAAACTTAAATCACATTTAATTGATCACAAAAATGGCATTCATTTGAAAATAAGATTTGTTTGTGATTTCACTGATTGTCACAAAATTTTTTCACATAAATCGCGATTAATTCGACACAAAAATTGTGTTCATTTGAATGAAAAGCGATTTAAATGTAATGAAGAAAATTGCGGCAAAAGTTTTACAAATAAACAATATTTCGTTAAACACATGAATTCGGGAGAAAAACCATTTAAATGTGATTTTATTGGTTGTAATCAACGTTTTACTAGAAAAGGGCAAATAAATAGACACAAAAGTACTGTTCATTTAAAACAAGGTAAACAATTTGAATGCCAGACAACTGGTTGTGGTTTTACTACTTATTATAAAACTGGTTTAACTCGACATCAATTAATGCATTCAAATATTAAACCATTTAAATGCCATTTTAATGATTGTAATGAATGTTTTGCATCGAAACAGTTGTTAATTAAACACAAAACTAGTTGTCATTTGAATATAACGTAAAATAAGTTTCCATTTAAACAATGTTTTATGTTATAAATATTTCTTTAAATTTAACCATTTTTAATATAATTATTTATAATTTCTTTTGTTTTGTGTTTTCCATTTAGAAATATTATATGAAAATTGTTTATAAGATTTTGTGCCAAACATCTTCATTATAATTTCAATTGTCATAAAATTGTGACAAAAAAATATGTTTTTATCTAATTTCTAAACAATTGCAATAATTTTGTAATAAATGTTTGTGAATATTATCTCTAAATTGGTAACAAAGGTTTCAAATCATATGAATATAATTTTGTGTCGAATATTTGTATTTCAATTATAATTAGATTTTCGCTATAAATATCTATTTATATTTATAATCTGTTATAACTTATGATTATATATAATAAATATTAAATTTAATGTAATTTATGTCCAAAATATGAGAATTAAATACAAAAATAATTTCAATCGATGTTTTATTTTCAATGCATTTTGAGATTACATTCAATGATAAAACAATTGGTATTTCTCATGCAATGTATTTCATTATTGAGTCATATAATGAACTCTGAAAACACTGTGATCAAAGAATTGCCAAAATATCACACAATGTTTCCCAAGAAATGTTTATTCTGTTTACAATTATTGGAATATTTCTTAAATATTGGGAACAATAGAAAGGAATAAATATTTTTCAAACTTTATATAAAACAACGGTTGACTTGTGTGGACAGGAAGTGAGTCAGAGTTGAGTCAATGCTTGAAATAAACGGTTTTATATTTTTCTTTGTCTATAAATTGCGGCAAAAGTTTTGATTTTGTCTTCAATTTTATGTGTTTTTCAATCATTTAAAAGTTTTAATTGAATTGTGTTTAACTGAATTGAAAACGGATTTAGAGCTGAAGTTACAGAGAGTTAACTCTAAAGTGAATTGTTGTGAGACTTGTGTTGAATTGATTGCCGAGAATCGGGTGAACAAAGTGTGGACACAATCGACGAGTCGATGAAGTGATGGCCACCGAAGACAACGACAGCCAAACGTGGGCTCAAGTGATAGAAGACTTGGATTTCAATCAAATGAGGAATAAATTCAATGAAATGAAGGTTTTCTGCGAAACGATAGAAAAACACAAAAACTCACAGAAATTCTTCGTTTGGTGGAGAGAGAGAGAGAGAGTATTAAATGGTTGTTTAAATAATGATTTGTGTGCCAATAGTTGAGACACCGGTGGCTTTTCTGTACAATTTCAATAACTACACGATTACTTCCATTTCGGGCGGATTTGACTCCCATTTTGCGAGAGAATGCGTCCGATATCTAAGGGTAACGTTTCCGCTGAAGTATAACCGGGAGTGGAGACAATTGGTGGCCGTTATGCTCGCGGAGGACAACGACGATAGCCCTTATACCGCGAACGGAAGTATCGCTATATTTAGACGCGTAAACGCGAACACCAATACATTCCTCGACGGCCATTACCTGAGCGAAGACTTAGACGGCTTTAAAGCTCACTATGATTTAGGCAATGATCACGAAATGATATCACTTATCAAATACAATAAGATCTATACGAATGACACGTGGAGGGTATGGGGTTGTGGCCGCTTGTGTACACTCATTACACCGTTAACTGAAATTATAATCGAGACGACCTTTACTACCGATACAGATACCAATATTACCACTGCGTCCAGTAAGATCCGCTATAATGAAAACATGGTAAAAAGTTATTTTACACTCGCGATGCTATTTGTTGTTGTTTTTTAATCATTATTTTATTCACATTTTAATTGCTATTTGTGTTAAGGATATGACTCACGACCTGTTTTTGCGGTGCGACGAACGGCGGGTGCCGTTCAGTCGATTTGACTTTTGCGACCAAAACTACGATTTCGAGAATATATTGAGTTTGGGATCCGATCTATACTTTCAGCAAAGCTCTAGTTTTTGGCGATTAAAAGATTATGGATTCACTGCCGACTCGTATCCGACGGGTTCTCCACTCAATGGGCAAAACATCCAAAATCTGGTTTTCGACTCACACTTCGGCCCATTCCTCGAGACCGAAGGCTTTGGTCTGTGTTTTCAATAGACAATTGAATTTTCAAAACGCAGTCATTAATTGTGTTTCTAATGATATCCCTCACAGACACGACTCAACGGGTGTTTGGCTTCTCATACAAAGCGATCGATCGGTTCCCGTGCGGACACTTAATCAACGAACACGATTCCGACCAGTGTGTGGACAAGTATACAAAGTCGCCGTACTTTCACAGCGTGTGTTTGTACGGCACAATTAACCGATTGACAAGGGGACGCGTACCCGTGTTCGGCATATATGACGGGCATTTCAATTCATACATTCACACACCGGGAGGTCTGGAGCGGCCGATCATCAAAGAGGGTGACCGACACAAACAGTTCTGCAGAGCGATCTCCGATTACGTGCGGTTCGACAAGACATACGACGGCTCCCAATTCGGTGTCACACATATCACCGGCTATCAGACCGGCGGACGCAACCAGATATCGATCGCCCAGACTCTGACCAAACTCGCGGGCGCGGCCCCCCATACACTCGACACCTTCTTTGCCGTATATTTACTGAGTTTTGACTATTTCTATATGAAAAACAGCCATTCGTTGGATCATAAAACATTTGACGCGGACCTCAATGTTAGCCGTAAGGTATACTTCATACCAAAGCTCAGTGACAACTTTATCCTGCACTCAATCTTCCGATACAAACACGTTTCCTACTGTTTGGTCGGCTACGGCGGGCCCGGCATAATGGAGGTCCGATATCTATACAGCGAGAACTTTAAACGCATGTTTCCGGTATGTCTGCCCCCAAAGTGTTGCCACAAAATGGTTTTTAATATATTGAATGCTTTCATTGCCATATATTTAGGACTCCCCAAAACACCCGATCGTTTTAACGGTATTTATAACTTATAAATCATTTTTAATGTTTATTTTGATCAACAATTTCCATAAAACAAAACTGTATTTAAATCACTATTGAATTGAATAGTTTGACAAAACCAATGAGATAGAGTGGTCAACAGTGGTCACGTGTCCCATAGAAATGATGAGGTATTCAGTGGTCAGTAACTACCGGGAGGGCCAGCTCTGCCATGAGAAACCCACATATAATATACATCACAGTGTGTTCAATATCGGTCCCGCACTATACCATCAAACAGGCCTTCATTTCTATTATTACGATATAATGAGAAAGAAATTTATTTTTGACAGACATGTGACCGAACTATTGGCCACTTATTTTGGTAATCAAACTTAAAATATATAAAATTAATATATTTTTATTTTAATAATCAATTTAATTGGCAGACACTCGACATCGTTTGACCGGGCATTCAGTTGAATGGGTGAAGGGCGACGGCTTTTATCATGTGGTAATTCACGGCAGGAGTAGTTTGACGTATCGACCGTTAGGCGAATACATTTTCGGACTATTTATATATGTCTACAAAGACATAGACACGAAGACATTGATGCCAGTCGTCAAACCCAGTGACTACTTGGCCGGTACGGGCGTCACCCGATTACTGTTCTCACTCGGCCCGCACCGGTACGACGGCCTGTTTGACCATCAGCTGGTATTGTTCGCCTGGCAGGGGGTACGGATCGAGATGTATCAGATTGTCAACACGTTCCTGGACAAGAATGACCACAATGTGACCATGGTGTTCCACCACGACCACTGGCAGCATGTCGATGCGAAGCAGGTATTGTTCCCATTCATCGCTTCCAGTATATCGAAAGCAGCGAATTGGTACTACCAGGACATGTGTCAGTTCGACAAATACATCGGCGCTTACTTTGATTACGACAACATTACGCACAGAAAAGGCGCTTATTTGGTGGCAACCGATAACCAGAGCGATGTTCTCTATCTGTACAATATGTTAGACTGGATTCGCAAACCATATGTCGAAATCGATTCGATGTATAAATTCAAGGTTTGTCCGCTTTTTGAAACAACAATTTGATTGTAATTATTATAATTGAATGCCTTTTACTTATTTACTTGTATTAGAAATCGTTGTGGTCTTACTTCACCACATATTGTCCAATGAGAGGTCCAAACGATTATGATTTTACCGGAAGTATATTCGCCTCAAATGAGACAAAACCTTCAAAAACATTGACTTATATTTTGGCAATACTTGTGTTGATTCTGATTGTGTCGACAATTATTGTCGCTTTCATTGCCTATCGATTCAATCCAAACAACAAAAAGACAAAACAATAACTGATTCCCTATTTTGCAAAACTATTGTCAAAACATTTTTTGAAACACTATTTTTGTTTTCTTTATTTATATCTATTTGTTCTCTAAATTGTAATTTTATTATTTATTATTATTGTATATTTAATATTTTAAACTTATAAAACAAATAAAACCATAAAAACTAATAGAAAATGCATTTTATTTCTATTCATAGTATTTAAAATACTTTTGAAACTATTTTCTATCATTAATTGTAATGATTTAAAAAATAATTGTTTTGTATTTAAAACACAGTCAATGAAAGTATGGTTTGTCATTAACATTGCGCTTACAGTTGTATTAATTATAAATTTTACTACAATTTTAAATATTAACATACAGTATATTTTAAATTAAACACTAGTACAATAATTTGCCAAATGTTTTGTCAAATGTCATTCAATGTTTACAAATTAAATACTAATTAAAAATTATTTTATTGTTTTAAAAATCATTTTATTGTAAAAAATTTGTTTTGTTGTAAAAAAATTAATATGATAATTTTAAAGCGAATTATTTTTATTATGTATTTTTATTAATTAAAAGTATTTTCTATAAAAATTATCAAATAATTTTTTCGTTTCATAAAATTAACAACATTTGTTAATATTTAATGTTAAATTGTGCTCATTGTCTACATGTATGTCATGTCAAATATAATCCCTTATATCAAACCGTATTTAACAATACTATCCATTTCTTTGGGTCCTAAATAACCGGTAAAACATTAAACGTTGGGATCAATCCGTGTCTTCACTCTTGGGATGTATTTGTTATTATAATTTCATTGAAACTCTTATGGAAAGGCATCGGAAGCCCAGACATCACTTGCACTCTTATCTGAGCGCTAATTAAATTCAAACCACAAAACATTGCAAACCTTTCATTGAATATAAATCTCAGTTTTAACTATTGTTTCGGTTGTCTATAATATCATTGGTATCCATTGGAAGTGTCCTTAACTACAGTCGTCCCAAACGATCCCACGATATATTCATTTGGATTTTTGCCGTATTTGTTGATTAACACTAATAATCAATCAATCCATCCAATGGTTCCGTTGGCAGTATATCTGGTGAGAGTCGGTGAACGTACGGTCATTACTGCATATGGTTTACACTCCATATATCTTTTTACTAATACACTCGTAAACGGTTTGACTTGTATTTCGGATTTTAATGTAAACGATATCCGACGACAACCCCCTCTGAATAGGCATTTGATGTCCGGACATCACTTCCGATCCCTTTTCAACTTTGATCTAACGAGCAGAGTTTCTTTAGTGCCATATCGATATCTTGATGAATTGTGTATTTTCTGGTAGAATAGATCATAAAAAATAATTTAGAAACAATATATTTTGCTGATACTTACCTGGGGAGGTGTGGGAGGCGTTTGAATACTTGAGATGTATAGTGTTAATGCATAGTGTGTGCAGAGGGAATGCACACGTGCAGGGGCACAGGCTATGCATTAACACTATACATCTCAAGTATTCAAACGCCTCCCACACCTCCCCAGGTAAGTATCAGCAAAATATATTGTTTCTAAATTATTTTTTATGATCTATTCTACCAGAAAATACACAATTCATCAAGATATCGATATGGCACTAAAGAAACTCTACTTGTAAGCGTTGATTAAACCAAACCAACAAAAGCCCAACTTTTCCTCCAATCCTTGTTTTGATGTGAGATGTGTTGAGAGATTCAAAACTATATAAATATAAATATCATGTTTTATTTTTTATTAAAATACTAACCATGGACATTTGCTCACCATTATACAGGGAGTGCTGGAGATTGTGGTCATATCGTACTGATGGGTGACATTTGGGACTATTGTGTAAGTCTCGTACCTCAGTATGTGTTTCGATACCAAAAGACCCGATATATACGATTGGAAAGGCATCCAAAGTCCAGACATCACTTCCATCTCATTAAACTTTTGCCCAACTTTTGCTCCGATCGTTGGTTTGACGTCAGATGTACTGAAATATATAAAACAAATGTACTTTAAATATAAATTTCATGTTTTTTGCTAATAAATAATGTATTTTAATACTAACCATGGCTATTTGCTCACCATTATATTACAGACCAGATGTTTACAATAACCACATTCTGTGCCGTTGATATAAAATATATTATTTTCCAATAGATTTGCCATAACATAGACAATGAGGACAATAGGTTTGGGCATTAATGTAAAAATTAAATAAATGATTAAATATATTATTTAAAAATTAAAGCTCTACTAAAACTCAATCAATATTTTAGTTTAAAACACAATTACAAGTGATTTCAAACATTTAAAATCATTGTTTTATAAATGTTTGGAAAATAATTGAAATATTTATTCAAACTTTCATTTGTGGGAAAAATATTTTGAATTTTATTTTGATGAATTAATTTCCTATTAAATCAAACTATTTATTGTTTTAATTAAATGATTTGTTGAGAAGTATTTATTAGAAAAACAAATGCAAAAAATACCATAATTTACATAATTATAAATATATAACAAAAATAATAAATTATTTTATTCGAGTAACAATTTAACGATTATCTAACACTTTATAGTTTCAATTAATATTTGTTTGTTTAATAAATTCTTTAAATTTTTATAAGTAATGTAGAATGAATAGTTATTTAAAAATGACATTGAAACAATTAATGCATTATTTAAATAACAATTTAGTGTTACATGAATATAAACTAAACGGACTTTACATTTATATCAAAGTTACAAAAAGAGATTTAAAATTATGAGTTTTTTGCTAAACTTAATGAATGCCGTAATGTTTTACAAAAATTTGGTTTAATTATAAACTTAAATTTTTTCAAAATTATTTTTCCTAAAAATTAATTAATTTAATGTAATATTTAGGAAAGTTGTAAAAATTCAATACAAATATCATTTCAATTGAATTTTTGAACAAATTGGTATTTAATGTCCAAAAGGTGTCACTATTTATGCCAAACACTCATACAATACACCAAATGGTTGTTAACCAATGGTTTCGTTGTTTACCCAAAGATTAGACAATGTTTCCCATCGAAAGTCTGACTCATAGACTCATAGTTGAGAATTACTGGAAAATCCCTCACATATTGGAAACATTATTTGGGTATAAATATTATCGAAACTATTAAACCAGTTATTGGTTTGGGTTAAGAGAGTGTGAGTCAGAGTTGAGTCAATGCTTGAAATCAAATGGTTTTATGTTTTCAAATGTTTTGTTTATAAATTGCGGCAAAAGTTTTGATTGATTTGTGTTTAAGTGAATTGTTGTGAGACTTGTGTTGAATTGATTGCCGAGAATCGGGTGAACAAAGTGTGGACACAATCGACGAGTCGATGAAGTGATGGCCACCGAAGACAACGACAGCCAAACGTGGGCTCAAGATTCTCAACTATGAGTCTATGAGTCAGACTTTCGATGGGAAACATTGTCTAATCTTTGGGTAAACAACGAAACCATTGGTTAACAACCATTTGGTGTATTGTATGAGTGTTTGGCATAAATAGTGACACCTTTTGGACATTAAATACCAATTTGTTTCAAATGTTGATTCAAATCAGATTATGATCTATGAGGGAGAATAGTGTATTAACCAATGAGAAGGGTGTCGATTGACCTGGTGAGTTTTGAATGAAGGTAGAGTTGCCATTGGGTTCAATGTAATATATGCATATAATATTGCATATAAATATGGCATTGAAATGTGACGTAAAATTATGTTACGTATGCAAATACACAAAATTACAAATGGAGTTAGTGTTGTGTACATCAAAACAACAATTTATTCAGCATATCTGGTATTTAATCATTTGAATAAAATAAATGAAATTTTAAATAAAAATGTTGTATGAATGTTTTGTATGAGTGTGTTGTATGTAATTGGGACACAGTTATTTATTAACGTCCTTAATTAACCATAATTTAGATAAAAATTTAATATGATTGAGAATATTTCATAATTTTTAATAGAAACGCATTTAGTTATGTACAAAAATAGTTATAATATTTGATAATAGATAGCAGTAATAACATAAATAAGTGTAGCGTAAATCAGTTAGAGTGTCCAACTGTCCCTTTTATAACTAATGTTTTTATGTCGAAATGTTATGTTTTTATGATTTTTTCGTAATATTCTATTTCGTAATTTTAAAATTTCAGTTTACATACTAAAATATTAATATTGATATAACAAAGTGTTATTTATAATTATTGTTTGATTTGTTATTAACTCTTTATTACTATATTTTTTAATCAGATAATGTCAGAAGTGGATAAAGTTGTAAAAATAAGAGACATAAAATATAAAATTACGTATTCTTTAAATAAATTTCAATCAGATTTACTTGAAAATCCAGCTCGAGCTTTATATCGATTTGGAAGCCATTATAAAGTGAAAAATTCGCTCAAAACTAAACAACTTACTGATCGAAACGGAAACAATTTGTGGAAAGTTGATATAAAATCGAATATTACCAAGCCAGCACTAAAAGCAACTATTACGAGCGGTAAACCAGTGAAGACACTACAACAGTATTTAGTCAAAATAGTTCATCACGAATTTTCAAAGCGTATAGAACCGGCGAACTAACAAATATGAAGGTATGTGTTTTTTATTAATATTAATTTTATAAGTAATTTATAAATATCCTGTAGATGTTAGTATTCAACGCAATCCTGTTAATTATATCTGGCACTTTGGCGAAACCAAAAGTAGTAATTAATGAAATTAATACAGATTCATTGATAAAACCTGACCATCAAGAATACATTGAATTAAAATTAATGAATGAAGAGTCTGAATCTGACTATTCTTTGAACGGGTGGTATATAGTTGCTATAGAATTAAGTGCTAGAGGTAAACAAATTTGTGTTATAATTAAACAAAATAGTAATAATATATTTAATGATATATTTAGGAAAACCAATAATTACCACAGTGATCAATTTAACAACGTATCAATTCAATGAAAATAAAATGTTTGTCGTCTCTGGTAATGAAATAGAAACTGGCGACCTAAAAGTTCCGGACAAAGCAATAATGTTTCGAAGTGAACTAAAAGATAAAAAAGACAGAGATAATTTTTTGCCAAATGGTCGTATCACACCGACTGGAATATTATTGCTTTATCGAACTGACGGAATACCAGGATTATTTCTCAATGAAAAAATATTACAAATAGCAATTAATGAAAACTGGGTTAACATTTTAACTAAAACTATACAAGATATGGTTGTAATTAACAGTAGATCTGTTGCTGAAACATGCAAAATTTTTACCGATTTGCATCCAGCTTGGACTCACAAATCATATGTATTGCGGGAATTTGATGAGGGGTGGAAAAGAGATATGTCTTTGGAACGTTGTACTGCGTTTACTGATGCCTATAAACCTGAATATTTTAGGCTAGGAGAAATGACACCAAATCAAGAAAATTCGTGTAAAATAAATCATTATACCTTTAAAGATAAATTGATAGAAATTACACCAGAATTGATACGAATAATGCCGAACAAATTGCCAGAACAATTGCAA